GCATCAGTAGAAAATTTATCACACATGTTTTCTCCTTTTTTTTCACAAACAAACAAATACCTCAGAGTCAGGCTCCAAAATGGTAAATCTAATTCAAGGCGAGTCTCAAAAAGCAGCTGTAGAGGAATTGTTTTCGATTGCATCTTGGTTGAGAGTTGTGTTATATATGGTTATATATGTGTGTGGCTCCAAAAAAACTCTTATTATAATTAGAACACACTCCATTTCCAGCCAATCTACAGCTTATGATCCTGTAGTGTTGTGGCGTTATAAATAAATAGAAATTTTAATATTTTTTTATGACCATTTCTGTCAACTCTGTAAGCCGTTACACTTCCTTTGTGTCTAAACTACCACTTGATAAGCAGAAGCCAGCAGTTGACACGTGGTCATAATGATAAATCAAACAGGACATTGTAAAAAAAAAAAAAAACACAAAGAGGAAGGTACTTAAATGCAGTATTTGACATGTTTAGGACGTCAGAGAAGAACTTATGCAACATTTTCCAAAGTTAAAAACAGTTAAAAACCAGTGACATTTTCATAGCAAAAAGGCAAGGCTGTGTGTTTGTTGTTTCCTTTTTACCCGTAACAGTGTTGATCATCTGAAGTTAATAGAGATTTTTTTTTTTTTAACTCTAAGAGCATTTCATTGCTATTAGTTAGGTTATTGCAGCATAGGACACTATGTCACAATAACCATTTGTTGTTATTTGGTGAAAAAAATACTAAAATTTGAAGCCCTTTCGCCAATTATCTGTCTGTATCTTTCAACTAATATTAATCTGAAAAAAACATCAGTGTGTTTCATGTTAGGTCTTTGTTTCCCTTTCTGTTTTGTCTGCTGTGTTGTAATCAGTGTGATCACACTCTCCTCTGTCTTTTTTATTAGTCTCACTGGTCACACCTCGTACCCTGGGTATATATACCTCTCTCCCTCACTTTGTCTTTGTGGGGTCATTGTTCAGTGTGCGTTGTACTGTGTTTTGGAGTTCATGCATTGTAACCAAGTGAGTTTTTGTTGTTTATGCTTTTTGTTAATAAACCTGCTGTAGCTGGAGAGAGTCTCCCTTGTGCTGCATTTGGGTCCTGTCTGCTTCCTGACATGACCGTACGTTGCAGAATAATCCCTCCAGAACTGGACCCAGCATACTCCTTTCCAGGATGCCAGGTTTTTTTTTTAATTTCAAACATATAAATGTACAGTTTTGCACTGTGATGTGTGACCGCAGCTTGGTGCTCCCTGCAGTGTTAGCCGGTCCAATATCAATATATGTAAAAATGCAAGTTTATGCCACAAAACATGCTGCCAAGTAAATAATTTGTGCTAAACACTCAAAAAAACCAAAATATCTAAACATGTCGAAATATAACAAAAAGCATGCATTAATATAGCCTTACCATGGTGAAAATTTCC